ATCTATTCTGTGTTTTATCTTGTATGTTCTGAATTATAAATGTGTCATCCATAAAAAATGTGAGCTACTTGACTGTGGAGACTATCTGTACTTTTTCTTTGTGTCCCTAGCACTTAGCACAGTCCTTGACATAGCAAGTGCTTAATAAATGCTTGTAGATTGACTGATTTTTGTTGTTGTTGTTGTTAGAAGGGTTCAGTTCTGAGAGTTGTGTTGGATATATCCAGAAATGAGTAAGGTGTACAAACAAGAGGCATCAATAAAACTTATTTTAGAAATTATAAACAATTAGGTTTACAAATTTTATTTGATATATATTACAGAATCATAAGATCTTAGATTTGGAGGTGGCCTGAGAGGCTATCTAATTCAGTCTTACCTAAAAAAAGAAACCATTATGGTGACCATTGCCTCAGTTGAAAACATTGAGTTAGGGGGAATTCATTACCATTCCAAGTTGTACACTCCTCTTTTGCACAGCTGTAATGATGAGAAATTTCTTCTTATCTCAAGCTAACTCTTTCTCTTTGTAAGATCCATTCACTGATGTCTTGTCTGGGTATGGGGTAGTGTGGATTCAGTGATCTTTATAAAGGTTCGATACAATTGTATGCAGCAATGACTAATTCCAAAGAGTGGAACAAAACCATGTCACGAAATTGAGGGTTGGGGACCATAATCCTTAAAAGACTCAGCACAGACAAGTCCTTCTAGTTAGCCAAGTACATGTCTTCTGTGACTAGGGGACTCCCTCATCCATAGCCCATGCAGGGCCATATGCTAGAGAAGGAGAAGCTATATTGAAAGAGATGCATTTGTTTTGTTTTATCTAGAAGTATTCCTTTTGAAACACAGTGATTAATGAGGCTCTTAAACTTACCTAAAGCATTGCTGTTTTCTCCACCTTCTAGCCTTTGCTTTAGGTATCTGCTGCTTCCTTGATAATTATTCTTTTGATCCCTTCTGGATTTTTTCTGAACAATATACAAGAAAAGAAAAACCAAGCATTTGTTAAGCATTAAGTGGTGGGCACATAATGAGTGCTTAATAAATGCCTGTTGACTTGACATAAATAAGTTATACCCTTTCAGAGCTACACTCCAGTCATATATCCCATTATTGTTTACTTTGTGCATTTGTGTGTAGCTATGATGCCATAGGTTTTATAAATGGCTCTTTTCTTAGATTTTTGCTTCTTGTGAATTTCTACATGTAATTATTCTATTATTTAGCTTCAGGGATATAGATACATGAGGGGAGGGGAAGAGAAAATTTTCTTTTCCTCCTCCACTTCCTTTTCAATGTAAAGATTGATAAGATTCCAGATAAATAGATTATCGTCAGCCCTTGCTATGCTTCATCCTGATTATGAGTTGTATTGTACCTTTATTTTTAGCTGTGGTCTGGAAATCCAAATCCTGATTTCAGTACTGTCCTTTTACCCAGCCTAAGCACTTAGAAAATCTCTTTTCTTCTAAAGCCCTTCCTTTGGCTGAAGTGGTGAAAAATGCCACTTATACCCTAATGTTTTACGTCTTTTGCTCTGAAATTCAAATTTCTTAACAGTGTTTTCTAGGTTCCTTATTGTGCTATTTGTCCTCATATAAATCATCAGAGGGAAGTCCTTTGGTTAGACAAATCTTATAGGTAGGCCTCTTTGTCACATTCCCAGGTACATCCTTTGGGAAGATAGTCGACCTCTCTGTTGTTTGTTTCATGTTGATGAATAGCGAATTCTGTCCCCTTCAGCAATGAATCTGCAGTATGTCTTTCCTCTTTCTTGGTCATTCCTTAGTGGCCTCTTTCCTATGACACCTATGAATTCATTGCATTCTTCTTTGTAGCTCAAGAAGTTCCTTGTTCTTGAGAGTGTTCACCTGCCCTCTACAGAAAAAAGTTCATATGTATTACTTAACTCTAAAAGTTCAGTAGTCCTTTCTTTACTTTTTTTAATGTGACATTCTCCAACTGACTAATCTTTTAACAAAAGTTAGGATTCCCCTAAAGCTCTTCAGGTCCTTTTTATTCATTTCTTACTTGAAGTTCTTTGCATTCTTTTAAGAAAAACTTCCTTTTCTCCAATAACCTGAATAAATAGAGCTTCTTATCCCCATTCTTAAAGAACCTTTACCTGGCCCAGGCCTCTAGTTAAACTTTCATCTTATCTGTATCTCTTCTCTTTTTCACAGCCAGACTCTTAGTAAAGGTCATCTAAACTCCATCTCTTCATCTCCTGTTTACTTTCCAGTCTTTTGCAATATGACTTTTTATCCATAAATCTACTGAAATTACTCTCTTCAGCCTTACAAAAGTTCTTAGCTGCTAAATCCAGTGGCCTTTTCATAGTTCTTATTTTAATAAGCCCTCCCTACAGCTTTCAGTAATGTTGAATACCCTGCTTTCTGGAGACTTTTTTTCCTCCCTTGTCTTCTTTGACACTTAGTTCTCCTTCCTGCCTGACCATTCTGTCTTAGTTTCCTTGGATAGATTGAGATCCTCCTCCTTTCATTAAGTGTGGTCATTCTTTAAGGCACTAACCTCAGCCTTGCTGGCCCTGCTCTCTTCTCTCTTATTGGTTCTGAGGAGTTTAGTAATTATCTCAAGGAAGAGATTTTCAAATCCACACTATGTTTCTCCTGAACTTCACTTCTGCATTATCAGCTGCCCAGTGGACATCTTTACCTGCATATCCTGATGACTATCTACATCTTAAACTCAAGATTTCCAAAATAGAACTACTCCTGTTTTCCTCTAAACCCTTCCCTTCTCTAGACTTCACCATTTCTCTTGAAGACAACATCATCCTTCCAGTCACCCGGGTTCACAACCATACAGTCAACCATGACTTCCTTCTCCCTCACTTCCAGTATGTAGTTAACTCCCGAGTACTGTCAATTGTACCTACAGAAAATGACTTGCCATGGAAAAATTCCCATTTTCCCACATGATCTCTAGTCTAAGCCCTCATTATTCTTCTCTGGACTATTACAGTATCCTCCTAATTGATCTTCCTGCTTCTAGTCTTTCCCCTGTCCAGTCCAGCCTCCATACAGCTACCAAAATAATCTTCCTGCAATACAAGTTGAATATGGTTAGCTTAGGGCACAAAGTCTTCAGTGGTTCCCTTTTACCTCTAAGGTGAAGGTAAATAGGAGCCTCAGCCTAGCTTTAAAGCCTACCACAATCTGTCAAGAGCCTTTTCAATCTTTTTTTCTTATTATTATACTTTATGAGACCTCTGTTTGAGTCCACCTGGACTGTTCCTTGACCTTGACAATTTGTCTCCTGACCCTGTCTTTGTACAGGCTACCCTCCATATCTGAAATATATGCCTTCATCTCTTCTGGCTCTTTAAAATCCTTAGCTTGATTCAGGACATTGCACAAGTTCCACCTTTTCTGTTGCTGACTGTGTCCCCCAGTGTTAATTTTGTTTCCCTCTTGAAATTACTGATACTTTTTAATGTACTTTACATTTGCTTATGTGTGTTTATATTATTGCACCTTCTCCCTCCCTGCCCAAGAATGCTAGCCACTTAATCAGAGAGATCCTTTTCTTCGTTTTTGTGTCCAGAGTGTCTAACTCAAGGCCATTCATGTAGCTGGCACATAATAAATATTCATTAAATTTAATTGAATTTCACGTTATATTCTCTAGGAATGAATATCATCTTGTTTAATATAGCTGTTATTTGGTACTGGCAGAAATAGTTATTTATATTTTATGCAAATCCCTAAACAGTTCCTTCCCCTTCTTCTTCCCAAACCCTGTACTTGTAAGAAGAAAGATCCTAAGTCCTTTGTTGGTAGCTGTTGTACTTTAACTGCTATTAATTATACTGGCAATACTCCGTGTTGTTTTGTTTTTTTATGATACAAAGCTGACTTGCCTTGATTGGTAATTAGTGCTTACTATCAAATCCTAATGGAAACAAAAACTTGGCCTGGGATCCTCAAACAGAAATTGAATCATAATCAAGGCTCTGTTTAATCGTCTAATTACATACCTCCTTTCCACTTTTCGTGATAAAGGGCAGAACTTCCTTCTCTTCCTCAGGACACTTCAGTTGATGTGATATGCTGTATCATGTACAATACAAAGATGGTACAGTGGATAGAGTGTTGGGGTTGGAGTTAGGAAAGCCTGATATTAACTAGCTTTGTTATCATGGATATGTCAGTTAAATTCGTAGTCTTCCTTCCTCATGTTTAAAGTACAAAGAATGAATATGAATTCAGTGACCTCTCAGGTCGCTTCCAACCTGAAATTTGTGATTGTGTCATTCCCTGAAGCTAAGGAATATACGCCATAGTTAGCAAGATAAGACATGGTAAATAATGTAGTACAGTGCATATAAGTATCAGGTGAGTTACACATAGAGATTACTATGGGCTTGATTTTCAAGGGTGTGGGACTTGGTTAGATTTTCAAACATCTGGATGTGCAGCAAAGAGCACATTTTAGGAAGGAGGAGCATGTACATCATGTCTGGTAAAGAGACTACACTGGCCAAAATAGCGATTTAACATTGAGGAGAACGGGAAGATGGGAAATGTGGCTTAGATGCGTTGCCTGTGGCATGTTAAAGGCAAATAGGGATCCACTAAACTATTGTGGGGGAGGCGTGACCAAGTAAGAGATTTGATATGATGAAAAGTATCTGAGGGAGGACATTATAGACACAAACGTTACCAATTAGGAGAGCGTTACAATAATCTAGGTTTAAAGAGACAAAAGCCCATTCTCAGCATCGGCAGTGGGAAAGGGAATAAACCATAAGGCGAGATAGTACAAGTAGAAAATGGAGAGCATTCGGTGAGAGGGAAAAGAATAAAAAAAGAGGACTCTGAAATACCGGCCATTACAGCAATAGAAACAAGAAAGTCAGAGGGACAAGTACTATGCAAACGTTATATTACATTATAGTTTCTGTTGGTAAGTTGTGAAATACGAGATGGCAGGTGTCTTACCAAAAAAAATGCATGTTTATTTTTCTGTAGGAGCTTATGGAAACACTTCCGTGCTGTCAGCCTTTGTTTATTTTTACTAGTGTTCCCTGCTTATATGGCTTACATGATATGCCAATTTTTCCACATGGATTTTTGGCTTCTTATCATTATCTCCAGTAGCATCCTCACTTCTCTTCAGGTAAGCCCGAGAATAGAGTCATGTAACATTGTGCTTGATTTTTTTCTCTTTTAAGATGAAGGAATGAGTCTCCTTTGAGTTTATTATTGTAGATGTTATAATTGTCATGTAAGTTACTATTCTTTTGCATTTTAGTCATTTGATTACGATAATTGGGATATATGATGTTAGTGTTCTGGTTCTAGTGCCATTGTATTCTTCCTGAGTATCTCTACTCTCCCCCTTACTTTCCTCCTGTACTCCCATTTCTGTTTTTCTAAATGGCATGATACAGAGCTACCATGTAAAATGACTTGAGAAATAGATACCCTTGGAAAAAGTGATGTTTTCAGTGTTTTTGAATTAATTTTTTTCAGGATAGCAGCAACAAATATAACATTGCAAAAAGACATTTGTAATTAGAAACATTGTCAGTTTTTAAGCATTTTGTGCTTCTAGGCTGATAAACACATTAATATATTTTATTAAATGCAACCTTTTAAGACAGCTTTGAAGCTCAGTTTGAACACTTATGTGCCGGGAGCTCCCCTAAATGCCACTGGGAGCTTCTGCTTTCCTTCTGCCAATATGGTGGCATTTATCCAATACTTGTGGTCGATAAGTGATTATTGACTTCCATCTCTAGGTTACACTTGGTACAGGGAGCAGTAGCCAGGTATCCCAAAGCACATATGCAGAATTTCTAGCTATCATTGAAGAACTAGGGGAAGAGATCAGTCCCATATATGTGGGAATCAATAATGCCATGGAGAGGCTAAAATAAGATAACCTGCATGCTCAAAGATTAGTTTGGCTTGGCAGAGAGGAAGCAGAATGCAAGATCTTCATCTCCAATTTCACTTCTAAGATTTTTTCCATATCTTTGTCAAGAAGATAGTGTAACACTCTAGTGACTTTCAAAAAAAAATCATAAACTTTTTTTTTTTAATGTTCTAACAGTTCGGTTTCCTTCCTAATTATGTCTTCCCCTTCCCAACACAGAATCTATAAGAATAGAAGAAAAGATGATTGGAATTTGAATTTTAAGTGGTTAGAAATGACCTAAGTTACTTAAAAAAAAAAGAGTCCAAAAACTGCTTGTAGAAAGGTCTTTTTTATTAAGGAGCCCCCTGAATTTGTCTTCTTTAGTTGCCATATTTTCCAGGCTGGACCCAGAGTATGCAAGAGACCCTAAATGTGTCAAGTCCTGCTTGAACTGACATAATATATTGTTTGCACTCCAAACTGGACTCCCTGTGTGTCCTTGGGAGTCAAGACAGGCACCAGTCATTCTATACTAGACTGCGAAACTGCTTGTGTAACTGGGACTACCCTTGTAGATAAGCAGAACATTCTAACTTCGTGGTCTAGCAGTTCCCAAGGGAAAAGAATACTACTCTTGCCATTCCCCTTTGTCTTCCCTTTCTTGTGAGGAGAGGGGGATTAGTCCTTTCTTACCCCTACTGCTCTTTTGCTCCTCCCGAGCCACTCCCATTTCAGAGGAAATTTCTGTCCCTCCTCCTCCCTTTGTTGCAGTGTCATAAATATGCAAGCTTCTATTTGGAACTTCTTGCACTTGGAGATCTACATACATGTTCATTTCTCTTGTAATAAATCCAATTGCAATGCATGTCTCATGGACCTGTGCTTTTTTTTTTTTTGGTTAACAGTTTCCATTGCTGCAGGCTTAAGATTTACTACCCTACTAAGATTTTGTTCCTTTGCATATACTTTGCATATACATCAGCCAAATTGTTGTTCTTTGAACCTTTCCCTAAGCTCCAACAGCTTCATGGATTTTGTTTTTCATAAGTAGATGCTTACCGTAATGTTTTTACCTGGTATTTTGTTGTCTCAAATGGCCACATAATTTTGCCATTTTAACAATTCATCATTTTTTTTTGCATATAAGAATTTTCATGATTATTTATCTTTTAAAGTCAGTCTAATATGAATGAGTTATAAATGCAGAGGACCACATTAATCTGTCAAAAACTTAAGAACCCTTATTATTGCCTTGTATTATAAGATGTTGGCTCTCGAATTTGCCATAGATTTTTTAAAAAAAATCTAGATAATGAGAAACTGCTATTTGCCTTTTTGTATGTATTTATTTTACTTGATGTAATAAAGTTTATGATTGTTAATAATTTTTATTTTTAAAGAACACTACCTTTTAAGCTTCTGAGGTTGTAGTTTAGTAATTGTTTTACTATACTTTTTTAGTAGCCTTCTTGTGGCACAGAGATCCATATTTATTGAAAGACAATTTCTAGTACACTGTAATATTTATGTATATGAAATGTATCATCAAATGTCTTTCATTGTTAAACATTTCAGACAAATGGTCTCTTCCTACAACCTTTTTTCTTTTCCTTACCACCCATTCCTTCCAAAACTGCTTATAATCTTTTGTGTCAAATTTTGTTTTGTCATAGGAGATAAGTCTAAATAAACACACAAACCACAGTATAGTTCCTGAAAACAGGAAAAGAAGCATAAAACAGTGGTAGTAGATATAACAAGTATTCCATAGTAATTTACTGTTTGTTATAAGGAATGAGAAGGGTTTGTCCTTTAAGTTAGTATCAGCAATTATCCATTGTATTTGGCCAAGATATTATTGCTGTTTAATATTGTCTTCACTTACGTGGCTGTAGTCATTGTGTTGTATTATTCTTTTACATTTGCTTTCTTAACTACATCACTTTATACCAGTCTTCCCTTATTTCAGTTTTTACATTGGTCATTCTTTATTGGTTTAGCCATTCTCCAATAACTGGATGGGTAGTCTCTAACTTTTTACTTTGAATGTGTTTAAAAGACAGACATTTACTTTTTTAAAAAAGTATCTTATTGGATCAGAAATTATGAGTAACCTTGTAAATTTTCTTTTTTTCTTTTCTTTTTTTTTGTTATTTTAGGCAATGGGGTTAAGTGACTTGCCCAGGGTCACACAGCTAGTAAGTGTTATGTGTCTGAGGCCGGATTTGAACTCAGGTCCTCCTGAATCCAGGGCCGGTGCTCTATCCACTGCGCCAGCTAGCTGCTCCCCCTTGTAAATTTCCTTGTATAATTCCAAGTTACTTTCTAAAATGGTTAGATTGAGTCATCATTCTAAGACAGTAAATTAACCTTAAAAATTGATAAATATGTGCTCTGATTTTACATCCCTAATACTCCACTGAAACACCTGTCTCAAAGGTTACTACTAGTGACTATTTTCTTGTTGAAACAAATGTTCTTTTATTTCATTTCATTCTCCTTTACCTCTGTGATGTTTTAATTCCATTGACTACTCTCTTCTCCCTGGGCTTCTGTAAATACTACATTAACCTGGTTCTTCTCTCAACCCTGTGAACATTACTTCTCCATCTTTTTCACTGGATTCTTTGTCATTCCTACCCTGTGTGTTTTCCCTGAGGTTTAGTCCTTGTGTAGTAATCTCTCTACACTCTACTTTAAAGAGCTCATCCATACTTCCGGCTTTCACTATTATCACAAGCTCATGATTTAGCCTTCCTTGCTCTTCATCTCAGAATGCTCTACTTGAAGTTTTTCTGGCAAAATGTGGCACTTTAATGTTTCATTATGTTGTCTAATAGTGTTATTGTTTTTCTTGTTATCCCAGCTGTGGATTAGTAAGTTTTTTTGGTAGCTGGCCCCTCACACCTTTTTCTGTGACTGTGTTCTTTACTATACTAGACACACATTAGACTAACTCAGTAAATACTAATTGGTTGATTAATTGATACAACCCCCATATCACTCAAATTAATTGAAAAGACTTCCTTTAGAGGATTTGGAGTTATTTTTCTTGTCTTGAAGGTCTGTGGAAATTTAAACTTTTGTTTGAATTTTTGCCTGCCAATTTTTCCTGTTATCTTACTATTTTCCTAACTATCCAAAAAGCCTTTGTATTTAGTAAGAAACAAAAAGACAGTTGAGAAAATGATAATACACTATTAAGTTTCAGATGTTAGTAAGCTACACATTTTTCCTTGTATAATTTTAATATGTATAATTTAACATCAAGAGCAGCATTCATTTTAAGTAATCTAGCTTTCCCTGTCAAAGATGAAATGTGGCAACCTTACAAACAGTAAGAATGATTGTTGCTTCTTTTTTGTATTTTGTGAACAAAATATTTCAGCCTTTAAATTTTGTGCTTTCAGGTTCTGGGTACACTTTTTATTTATGTCTTATTTATGGTTGAAGAATTCAGAAAAGAGCCAGTGGATAACATGGATGATGTCATCTACTATGTGAACGGCACTTACCGTCTGCTGGAATTTCTTGTGGCACTCTGTGTTGTAGCATATGGTGTTTCAGAGACCATCTTTGGAGAATGGACTGTGATGGGCTCCATGATCATCTTTATTCATTCCTACTACAATGTGTGGCTTCGGGCCCAGCTGGGGTGGAAGAGCTTTCTTCTCCGCAGGGATGCTGTGAATAAAATAAAATCGTTGCCCATTGCTACAAAAGAGCAGCTAGAGAAACACAATGATATTTGTGCCATCTGTTATCAGGTACCCAGCATAACATAAAAATCTAAGTGGTTGGGGAAATGTAGTATACTTACTCTTTGGGTTTTTATTAAAATCCATTTAATTTAAATTCCCAAGAAGAAATGAATATCTCCTGAGCAACTAAATGACTTTAAGCACCTTAAACAACTTTTAGGAAATACTTTGTCTTTTTAAAAATATTTAAAAGTTTAGTATTTGGCCACTGTGATACTAATACGTTGTTGTTATTGTTTTCGATACTTGTCGTGCACCCACAAATGAAGGAAAAACAGGTCAGATGTATATTATATTCACTCATGAGTGCATATACTATAGATCAGGGATTGGGAACTTTGGAAAAATGGTGTTTGCCAAGGTTCTGACCCCCCTTTCCTTCTGGCGTGCTGGGGGGGGTGAGGAGATATGTAATTTCACAAGAGGGAGGCGGATGAGAACATGCCAACTGCTGATCCTCCTAGTGGATAGTTGGTGACTCTCACAAGTTTTTTCCTAACTTTTCTCCCTTCCGGGAAGCGCATGATGCTAGCAGTCAACTTGCATGCCAGTGAAAATTGGCTTGTTTGCCATCTTTGGCATATGTGCTGTAAGTTGCTGGCTCCTGCTGTAGATAAATTAAAGTTAATGTTGAAATCAGCTTTGCAGTGGAAAATGGGCTTACAGCTTAGCCACACATACAGCAGAGTGCTGTATACACACATAACATTGCACTAGGGACAATAGTTGAGGTCACCGGTTGAGAACAGCTTATATTCTAAATTATTTTGCTCTTTCTAGGCTGCTAGTAGCATAAAGGGGAGGAGGTAGAAACAGGAATGCATGGCATATGCTTTTTTTCCACCAAAGTTGTTTTTAAATATAATTAAGGTATGTTGGGCATTCAGTTTTTTATTATGATAGATAGAAACAACATGCCTCCTAGAACTTGAATATGTTTCTAAAATTGTATTTTTCAAAATGTCTTGTGTGTTACTAGTTACGGTTGGGGAGAAGGTGGTAAGGAATGTACAAAAAGTTATATATCAGAGATTTTAATATAAGTAGCTCTACTTTTAACTTTCTTAGTTACAGGAAATAAGTTGCAATATCATACAACAAACATTATTCCCTTCTGCACATATTTAGGAAAATACGTGTTAAATAGAAGTGGTCCTTTGGCTTCAGAAGTCCTCCCTAGAAGTTCTTGACATTTCATTAGAACTGTTTAGTTTTCCCCTTTCCTTGCTTGTCATTTTAATATTTCTTTTGTTGAGAGACTCAAATCAACTGCTGATAACACAAAAAAAGCTTAAGCTTCCTATTTGCTGCTTTCATTGTATGACTCTCTGCTTGCAAGTTAACTCCCAGGTGTTACCAGCTCTTGGTATAGAGGATTGCTTGGAGTAGTTCTGGCACTTCTAAAAAATATTTATTATTATTTCTCTTATATTTACAAAAAAAGACCAATTGGCAACTACTTAACAACATAGATTGTCACAGGTTTTCATTTCATATCTTTAATACTTTCTTCCAAACTAATTAATCTAGAGTAAATGGCTTTGTGTGGAGACAGAGCCTTGAAAACGATTACATGGCATAATATAGTCCTCATGAAATCCCACAAATCCACCACTTTTTCTCCTAATATTGTATTGTTATGATTGTAGTTATAAGCAAATTCCTTATAGATGATTTTATCCCCATGGAGAAAAATCCATCATTTTAAGTCTGTCGTCAGTACTGTAATGGAGGTATGGAGATATTTTTGAAATTTCTGATTTTTAAAAGTGTAATTTTGTTGATGTGATGCTACAGAAAGTATTTAGCCATTCCGTTGTAGGCTAAGACAATTCATTTTAGAAAGCTTTTAAAAATATTTTTGTTCCATTCATTTTTGTTTCTGTGTGTGTATATATTTAAAATTATTCTATGCAGCTCTTTTATTGGTGTGGAGGGCCCTCTGGTGGTGAAAAGATTACTTACCTAAGTGTCCTATCCCAAGCCCTGGTACTTCACATTCTAATTCATTTTAATGATATGGAAAGGGAAAGTTGGGATCAAAGAAACTTTGAAGTAGCACTAAAGACTTTTAAACTGTGGGCAATTATCTGACCTCTCCTTTCCTTCTCATTTAGGACATGAAGTCTGCCGTGATAACGCCATGCAGCCATTTCTTCCATGCGGGTTGCCTTAAGAAATGGTTGTATGTTCAAGAGACTTGCCCTCTGTGCCACTGCCACCTTAAGAATTCCTCCCATCCTCCAGGATTAGGACCAGAACCAGCTCCACCGCCAAACCCTGGAACAGAGCAAAATATTGTGGTTCAAGAAGGGACTGACCCATCAGTTCAAGAGCACCCTGGAGGGGCTGGTTTGAAAGAAGACCCTAGAGACAGTGATGAGCAAGTGACCAGAGTGATAGGTCACCAGGAAGGGACTTTTGAAACCCAGGCACATCTTCCAAACCCCCATGTTGAGATGTGCTCTATTGTGGTCAACCAAGAAGATATGAAGACAGAAGAACAACCTGGAGTCTTAGAAGAAGATTTAATTCAAGACACAAGTCATGTCTAGATTTTAGGAACATGTGATGGTTATACAGCAAACAGAGACATTCCAGGAATCCAAGATAATCTTTTCTCAGTAGAGACCGCCTACTTTTGCAAACCCTAGGCATTGAGAGAGAGTTTTGGCAATCTATAATAAGCATGAAGTATCTATATGTCTCATGCTGATATTTTGTAGGAGTTTGCCAAGGAAAATCAACCTCAGCTACTTGAGAAACTGAATTTGAGAGGATAAATCAGATAGAAATTTGAGTATTTTCTGAGGGCTAAGGAAAGGAAAATAAAATCATAAAGACAGCATGAGAAGAAGCTGAATGGACATTTTACTTTATATGGGAAAGATTAATCTTTTCCCAGAGTATCAGAGAGTTATTTGCCCTTCTTCCTGTCCCCTTTTTTTTCTCAGTTAAATGGAACTCAGTCAGGTGATTATTGAATTTTGTATAGCACCGAAGCAAAATCAAAGATGTAAAAAGCGTTGATTGTATTGAAAAATTGAAGCACGCTAATACATCTTATGTGCTTTAGGCGTTTGTGGGGGCGGGGTGGGCATGTGGGCATTGCAATTTGCATTCATGTAATCTGTGACTCTTGAACTTTATGATGGAGTCATTAATATTTTGATGTATATGAAACTTTTGTTAATATACTGTATACTGTGTTGCCTGTGTGAAGTAAACTAAAGCACTAATGAACACTTTGGAGTCCTCCATAGTTTAGGGGCTCAAAGTGGGATGAGCTTTAGGGAACAGATAAAGGCCCTATGTGTACTTTTCAATCCTGTGTAATGTTTAATTCTTGCAACTGAAATCAAAACAGTGTTAAATTCTGGCAATATTTGCACTTTGGGAATGAGTACATAATTAATTGTATGATCAAATGCCGCAAATGCCACTTTTAGAGCTGTTGATCGACTTTGCACCTTTTCTTTGACAAGGTTGTGTCATATTTAAATTTTTACATTCATCATGGCTTCTGGTAGAACTGGGGGGGTGGGTTGGCGATTTTTTATGTGAATTTTGATATGAAAAGAAATTAGTCATTTATTTATACAATAGGCTTGGCTCAAAAAAGTGTTTTTCAGAGTTGGAATTCCTAATGTGAGATGTGACATTATTTTATTTTTAGTAGCAAATTTGGATGTAGACTGACAGACATAGCTGAATGTCTTAATAAATTTAAATTTGAAGACTTTATGTTTTGCTCATGTGATTATTGCTGCAAAGCATTTTATTGAGTTAGGTTTTTCAAAACTTCTCTGGTTCTCAGAAATAAAGTGGTTAGATTTTATTTCTTTCCCTTGCTTCCAAATATTTGTATGTTGACTCATCGTAATGATCACCTTCAAAATTCACCTAACCTTTCTCCCTGTATCTCAGTGTTTTGCTTGTTTGGGATTAACCAGAAAGGAGCATTCCTGTGTCATGATTTGAGCCTTTTAAATCTTAGTGTTACTTTGTAATATGTTGGGATAGAGGCATTATTAACTAATACAATACTTTTAGACTTAGAAAATTAGGCATGGTTGATGTTTACTGGCTAATAATGTATACTCTTAACAAACTGTCTGATTTTCTGCATCTACACAGTGCTTTTCTTTAGAGATTATTCATTTTATCTTAAGTTAAAATAGCAAATCATTCTAGACACACTTACCTTTTTTTTTTTTTTGGCTAGGCAGTGGGGTTAAGTGACTTGCCCAGGGTCAGTCAGCTAATAAGTGTTATGTGTCTGAGGCCAGATTTGAACTCAGGTCCTCCTGAATCCAGGGCTAGCACTCTATCCGCTGTGCCACCTAGCTGCCCTGACACCCTTAGCTTCAAAACCATGTTGCCTTCTTTATTCCTGACTAACTACTTGGTGGTGAGTCATAGGATTCCACTAAGTTTTACCTCTGCCTCAGCAGGGCATAGATGATGACCCTAATTCTTGAAGGTTGTGGTAGGAGAGTGTAAGCTTTGTCAAGTCGTGCTGAGTTGCCAAGTCTTTCAGATGTCCAAAGCTTGATTGTATGGCTGTTATCTAAGGACTCTGTAAGCTTCTGTCAGAGGAGTTCATCAGCATAATCAGGCTATGATTAAGTTTTTTGACTACATCAGCTCATGGAGGTGTGGAGGTTTTGATCTACATTGGTGGAGGGGATGTCTTCATTGATGAAATCATAGCATTTCAAAAGTATTTGAAGTAAATAATCAATTTTATAACTAAGCGATTTAGCGTAAATTTTTTATCTGAGACAGATGAAAGTTAACCTCACGATTCTGTTACTTTTCAACACATGAAATTCAGGCCCTGCTCATCTAAATCACATGTAGGGTTTTATTTTCTTAGCATGAGTGTATATGATTTTAAAACCCTTGCTACATGAAGCTCCTGTACGTTCTTTTAACTTGTATTAGCTCTGCTCATTGGCTTGTGCTCTGCTCCAGAACGGTCATGCTCTAGCAGGGACTATGTATTTCCTTTTAAATGATACACTTTTATTTTTAATACCTGTTTAAGACAGGAAAGATGATGTTCTACAAAGGAGAGGTAAGTCAGATTGTGAATTTAACTGATAGTTGCGAATTATTTTGGCTTTGTGTGATAGAAAAGGGGACTTCTTAAGCTGTGAACAGTTGGTGTATCTATTATAAACAAAAAAACTTTTAAAAAGAAAATAGAATTTTTGTGAGTCAGTTAATTTCAGCTACAGTCTTAACAAAGTGCCTGATTCTGGCATTTTGGGAAAGGAATATGTGAATTCCAAAGGTGTCATTTTATGTTGGGTTGTATTTTAATGAGTTTTTTAAAACTTTTTCACACCAGTGACCCATGTAGAGTAGTCATTTTCACTTCTCCTTTTAGAATCTACTGTCTGTTGTCCCTGAGTCTTAAATATGTTTTATTAATAATTTTGTAATTTAATATCTACTGTAAACCTAGATGCTAAATAGCCAGTCAGAATAATCAGGAGCAGTTTGCTATAGTAATAATCTGAATTTACATAATATTTTAAGGCTTACAGAGCACTATCCTATACCCTCTGGCTTACAGGTATTGTTCCCATTTTATAGATCTAGAAATAGATTCATAGTACTTACATGACTTATCCTAGATTACACAATTGTAAGATCTTGAGCACATGGTCAGCACATGGCATAGTGGATAGAGTACTGGGCCTGTGATCAGGAAGACCTGAGTTCATATTTGGCCTAAGACATTTAATAGCTATGTGACCCTGGATATGTCACTTCAGCTCTATTTACCTCAGTTATTTCCTCTGTAAAATAGGGATTATAATAGCTGTTGTGAGGATCAAATGAGAAAATAATTGAAAAGTGTTTAGGACAGTGCCTTACACATAGTAAATGCTATAAAAATGTTGGCTATAATTATGACCAATTCTTTCTCTACAGCATTTTCCCTGTCAATCTAGTTACTCATTTGCCAAAAAATTTTCTGTTCTCTCTTTTTCCTTTTCAGTGTTATAGGTGGAGGTCTCTGGGCCAAAGGAGAATGTTCACTAAAGAATAAATCACCCTAATACTATACAGGTTTCCATCTAGAGACATGCTCATTTTCCCAATTGGTGTTTATGGTGAATTTTTTTTAAAAATCTTTTTTTTATTCTGAACTTACACAAAAAAGCATTACCATATAGCAAAACAGAGGATTGCATATGAAACTGAATAAGTAGTATATTATAAATTTCATATTACTTTAAAAATTATCTTGCTTTTGGGTGCTTCCATCTGAACCTCTTTCTATGCATTAAAAAAAGTATTTCAGTGACCTTTTCACTGATGCTACTTCCCACGTCCTCATCAAAACCCAAGAAAGAAAGGAAAGGAAAAAAAAAAACTCAAATAAGCATAACCAAGCAGGCTTTGTTCCATGGCCAGATTTTGTCTTCTGTTTGAGTGGTGTAGTCAGTCCATGGGTCCCTGAGTTCCTGCAAAGACTTCCACCTCCCTTTTCTTTAGGTCCCCCTGAATCTTTTGAGGTTCGAACTTTGAATCTTCAGGGCCTTCTCTGGCATCTCAGGAGAGAGTGCTAGGGATCTTGGAGTGTCTGGACTGTCTTCATCTGAGTCCTGCCATTGGTAGCTTTTACTTCCTGAGGCTTTGAAGGTTCGTTTTCTTAGAACTCAGGATTTCTGACCATTTTGGGGCTTTCTAGTGAGAAACTTACCCTCAGCTCTAGCTGTCTCGAGACACGTCGTTGCAGGCTTTACGTATCTGGCTCATGTCTGGCTATGCGAGAGGCTACTGACTTGTTTGCTTGTGTTGGTACTAGCTTTTTTGGTGGCAGGTGCCCTTTCCTATAATTCCTGGGCTTCTGACTTTTTGTATAGTTACTGTAGGTTCTCTAGGATTTCCTGATTATTATTTGGTCTAGTGTAAATTTCAAGTTTCTGTCTAAGTAGTAGGCATGTGAAAGTTAGGCTGTCTGCCTTCATTCAGACAGCCATAGTGGCCATAAGTGCTCATTGATAGTGAATCTTGGTGTCTTTACGTAGGACTGTTTAGATACTTGAGTATTTGACCTTTCCTTAAGATAAGTCCAAAGCTCTCCTTTGATTTATAACTGAATATTTTTGAATTACTTCTAAACAACTCTAAGAAAAGTAATTTTAATTTGTGAAAGAGCAATATAGAAATTCTGATCTGACTGATGTCATTGTGCCAGCATGGCACAATGGTTTAATGAGGGAGACGCTGTGTAACATGAAGGATATACAGAATAAATAACAAACATGAAGTTTAAGGAAGAAGAGCACTAGTATTTGCAATCAGAAAGGGGTTTAGTGTTGGAGATTGTGCTTGAACTGAGCCTTGAACCAAGTAAGGGATTCTCAGAAACAGGTGAGGAGGGAGGCTCTACTGGTTTGGAGAGGCGTCATATAAAAAGTAGTACTTTGGCTTTGATGGGAAGTGCATGGGTCTGTCTATGGTTTCTATCATGGGTCTGCCCACATAGAAAATTGTGTTTTAGGAAAGCGAAAAAGTCAGTTTAGCTCTACCCTAGCATGTGCAGAGGGGAGTCTTGAGAGAAGCAGCATGATATAGAGCATAGGGCTCAGATTCAGGAGGTCCAGTAGGCACTAGCCATGTAACTCATGTGCAAATCATTTCACCTTTTTATTTCTGGAACAAAATGTTTTATGCATTGTCTGCATAAGCAAGTTTGCCAAATTGAGTTAGATTCAGCTGGCCAGAGATTCTGTCTGATAGTGGCACGTAAAAGTCTTGTGTAAGGTTATGTTGTCATTCTTAATATCAACTTCAAAGTTAACCATCAGGATGTTGAGATGTATCCACATTAAATTCCTGTTTTATGCAGTGGCATTTCTAGGCACTGGGGTTGCAAATGAAAAAATGGAAAACAGTATCTGCCCTCAAGAAGTTTGTATTCTACCGGGTAATATATACATAACGAAGTAAAAATACAAGACAGTTTGAGGAGGAAGGCAGCATTGGCAGCTGTGGGCAATCAGGAAAGAAGACTTTGTCTGTGATGCTGTAACCAAACCTTGAAGGAAGCTAAGGATTCTAAGATGTTGAGGTGAGGAGAGTGTGCTGTCAGGCAAGGGAGACAGGCCTTATGAAAACGGAAAGATGGAAAGGGAATGTGGAATTCTGGGAATAAAAAGTAGTCTAATTTTGTTGGAATGCAGAGTATGTAAAGGGGATTAATATGAAATAAATCTGGAAAGGTGGATTGGAGCCAGACTGGAGGGCTGAATGTGGCTGAAGAGATTGTATTTTACTCTGGTGATAGGGAAACACTGAAGTTGTTTGTTTTTGTAAGAACTGACTTAATTTGGCTTGTGCTTTAGGACTATTATTTTGGAAGAAACAAGAATGATGGATGTTGAGACTAAAAGTGAGGAGACCAGTTAAAAAGCTACTGAAGTAGTCATGGAGAGAAATAATGAAACCCGCTCTAGGGTAGATAGAAATCGTTTGAGTAGAGGAAAAGGGGATGTAGTGGAAGGATTGACAAGAGTTGGCAACTAATTGGATATGGGAAGAGAGAGAAGAATCAAAGATGACTTCAAGGATAGCTGGAAAGATGATGGCAATGGTTTGGAAGAAATAGTAGTTCTGCCTGTGCAATGAACTTGCTATGTGATGTCAAGCAGATTATTGAATCTTCCTGGGTTTCAGCCTCCTCATCAATAAAATGAAGTGATTAGATAAGCTTGAAGGTC